CGATGATCCCGCCGACGCAGCAACGACACGATGGGCGAGCTCCGACCACTGACCCGGTTGGAGCGCTCGCCGCATTTCAGAACAATCGCGTGCAACGGGCGGCGATTTTCGAGCCCTGTTTAGTTGAGCGCGTGAGTGTGTGTCATATGTGTGCATGGGCCAAACGTGTGAGGTGCTACGACTCGCCGTATTTCTCTGCTGGAGCTTGGGTGGAGACGGCGTGGCGTCCTGACGAGGTGTCGCCCCGCGCTGACGGGGAGCCCGGCATCCTGACGCAACGTGACCTTGCAGGCCACAGTTGTAGCAGCGTGTGAGCGCCCCAGATGGCCTGGGCTGCTCCTGGCGGCTCGGTCCATTCCGAGCCTGTGGTGCCGCCGATCTCCATTCCCCCCGCCGCTCCACCCCGCAGACCTCCTCCGATGGGAGGGCGGTGGCCGCCATGGCATGGCCGGCCACCCCCTTGGCCGCCTTACGACGCAGGGACCGCAAGCCCCCGTGGATGTGGCGTGCGACCAGCAGGGACGACATCTCTGTGTCGTCTTGAGCCAAGACGTTGACATCCAGCTCATCAGCGAGTAGCAGCAGCTTCTCAGCCACCATGGCGTCCACTCCCTCCTCGTCCATCCGTGGAAAAGCTGCTTTCGCCAGAGCCAGGAGAGCCGTCCGGAAGGCCAGGGGCGATTCGTTGGCGCCCCGATGCCGATCGTGGAACAGCTGCCTGCAGTCGGAAGGCGGCCCATAGACGGCTGACAGCAGCTGCAGCGCCAGGTGCAGCGTGGCGCGCTTTTCCCTAGGCGCCGAGGTGAGGGTAGCCAGGGCGTCGTTGTCCAGCATCGCCGGCAGCGCGCGTAGTGCCTCGGCGTCCGTCCAGTTCGCCATCTCTTGATGAGCGATGAACCGCCTTTTGAAGCCGCCCCAGTCTCCGTCCGCGCCCACGAATTCTTTGAGAGGCGGCAGACGCTGCTGTAACGCGACGTCCGTGGCTGCAGATCGCTCTCCGTCGCTCCCAGCAGATGATACAGTGTGGGCGGGCTGCGAGCATGGCATCGCCGGTCGCTCTGATGTTGACGCGCTGTCCGGTGTTGATGATGTCACGGCTTGTGCTTGGCGCTCAGCAGTCACCTGACGCGGGCCGGCCCCGCCCTCAGCTCGCACTGTAGTGATGGCGGGAAATTTAACCGCGAGCCGCGTCGGGGTGGCGGGAAACGTCGCCGCGCGTCGGCTGCTGTCGTCGTCCCGCGCTGCCCCTCCAGCCCCCAGCCGCGTGATCTCCTCCAACGCGGCGGCCGCGGCGTAGAGCAGCTCCGCCAGGCGGGAGTGAGCCAGCCGGAGTCCTTCGGCCGACGCATCCCCCCCTTCCTGTCGTAGCAGCGCGGGCGTACTCGGCCCCGGCTGCTCCGATCCGACCCCGGCCATCTCTGGTGGTGATTCGGCCGTGGCGTCTTCTATCTCCGACTCCCTGGTACGTGTCGTCCCTCGTGTGTCCATCGTTGAACGTTTTACTTCTGACGCCAGATGTAGTAAGTATGTTGGAGGCTTGACGACAGGGTCGGAGGCACACTTATTTATTACACCAACTTGTGCACACACAGTACTTACGGGGTATCGTCCCCTTCACTTAGCTACAGGGATACACAACAGCTAACCCCGCTAACCTACGCCCAAGTCCTCCACTACGGAGCTAGGGGAGGCTACCTATCCCAGCCTGGTCAAGCTGGGATCCCGGCACCCTGAGTCTCCAGACCGGCTTGTCAGTCTGGGCTCTCGGGGCCACGCCACCGGCTTGCCCTGGTCGGCCCTTATAAGGACAGCGAGCCAGGGGAGCTCTGGGGCCTATTCTAGCAGGTCTTCCTTCTTCTCTGGTTAAAGCTGATCCCCGACCTCGAGCCCTCCGGCTCACCACCTTTTATAGGACTCGGCCCCCGGGGGGGCCCGTGGGGGATGCAGGTGCGGACGTCGGTGCGAGCGCCACCCTTGTGTACGGCCGTAACCCCGCCCCTTGTGTTTGTTAGCCATCCGTGGCCATGCACAATTACACCTCTACATCCGTGGCCATGCACAATTACACCTCTACATATTCACCACATCGCATTGCTGCTCTTGTAATCCGTAATAGTAATTTTTTTTGGGTTAGATCGTATAAATATAAATGTGTATTTAAACCCGCAACTCCCCGACACAGCCAATTAGTAAGGTTTGTCACGTGAACAGATCGTGCCAATTCGTTACAAGTGTAGGGGTGTTACGGAGGGGGTGTTATACAGTTGAGTCGGACGGTAAACAAACACACTGGGCGTGGCTATGTCTGTACGCGAGGAGGTGCTCACAGCGACGTCCGCACCGTTCAGCCTGGGGGGCTGACACGGAGCTGGGATCCCCCGCGGCCCCACCCCTCAACGGGGGAGGGATATATAAAGGGGTGAGCCGGAGGGCTCGGGGCAGTATGTATTAAGCTTAAACCTGTGAAGAAGGAAGATCTACTAGATAGAGCCCTGGGACTCCCCTGGCTCGCTGCCCTTCTCAGGGCCGACCAGGACCAAGCCAGTGGCGTGGCCCCGAGAGCCAGAGCCGATGCTCTTGTCAGAGCCGGTCTGGGGACTCCGGGCACCGTAATCCCAGCTTAACCAGGGCTGGGTTAGCTAGCCTCCCCTAGCCCGATAGTGGAGGATCTAGAGGTAGGCTAGGTGTAGCCTAGAGCGTGACTTCCCAGTTAGACGGGTGAAGGGGCCGACACCCCTTCCAGTGCTGTACGTCCCGGTCTGTGTTGTACCTTGTACTGAATAAAACAGGACCCTGCGGGGTGGGCTGGTAGGAATAATACTAATACCGGTACAGGGATATCGACCGGGTATAGAGGAGTTAAAAAGAAAATGATTTGTGTATGGGGGGTGAGCGATGATGTCCACACCCCCCCTCCCCACTGACTCGCGCGCATACAGAGCAATGACGTCAACACCCCCCTCCCCACTGACTCGCGCGCCCACAGAGCGATGACGTCCACACCCCCCTCCCCACTGACTCGCGCGCCCACAGAGCGATGACGTCCACACCCCCCTCCCCACTGACTCGCGCGCCCACAGAGCAAGGATTGCAACAGGCGATGTCATTGGCTGCGCCGGATGCGACGGCCATCTTGTTTAGTTCATTTAGTTCACGGATCGCAGGGGGAGCGGGCGGCCATCTTGTCAGACAGACGGACGGCCTCGCGAAGCCTGTCGCAGTAGGCCTCGCGAAGCCTCCTGCACTAGGCCTCGCGAAGCCTCCAGCAGTAGGCCTCGCGAAGCCTTCTGCACTAGGCCTCGCGAAGCCTTCCCTGCAGTAGGCCTCACGAAGCCTTCTCTGCAGTAGGCCTCGCGAAGCCTTCTCTGCAGTAGGCCTCGCGATGCCTTCTCTGCAGTAGGCCTCGCGAAGCCTTTTCCGCAGTAGGCCTCGCAAAGCCTGCCGCACTAGGCCTCGCGAAGCCTGCCGCACTAGGCCTCGCGCCGTGCTTTTCGTGCACAAATAAGGCGATTAAATGTATCTTGTCTCTGTGTTAATAAATGTATCTTGTCTCTGTGTTAAAAAAACGTGCTGCGTTTCAGTAAAGTAAATTTGAAGCGAAGTTTATTATTACACTTGTTAAGCCGGGAAAGCCCCACTGATTCAAAAGGTTTTTGTAGGGTCCTGCCAAGTGTTTGCAGTAGGTGGCGATGTTGCTACACCAAATCGGACGATACGAAGGGAGAGATTGAGGCCTAGTTCTAGGCTTTAGGCCTAGCTGTAGGCTTTAGGGCGCTGTGAGTTAATTTTTAATTTAAATGTTTTAATGATTCATGTGAAAGCTTTAAATTTAAATGTTTCTATTTTAAAACATGAGGGAATGTAACATTGTTAAACATAACTCCCTTTCACACACCCGGGGGTACGATACGAAGGGAGAGTTTCAGGCCTAGTTCTAGGCTTTAGGCCTAGCTGTAGGCTTTAGGGCGCTGTGAGTTTTTTTAATTTAATTTCAAAGTTTTAATTAAAAGCTATCTCAGGGAATAAGGGAATGTTACACGTGTCATGCCAAGTGTTTGCAGTAGGGGGCGATGTTGCTACCAGGATAGCGTCACTGAGTCTAAAGGTCTTTGTAGGGTCATGCCAAGTGTTTGCAGTAGGGGGCGATGTTGATACACGGACGGACGGACGGACAGTCGGACGGACGGACGGACACATTAATCTATTGGTGGTCTGGTCCACTTCGTTCCTACCAGTATAAGTGTGCCTCCAACCCCGGCGTCCAAGTCCTCCTGAACAATATTACACGAGTACAGCACACCGCTGTGTTGCTGAGAAAACCCACAACATTGACAATTTGAGTACCGTGACGTTTCGCCAGTAATTACGACCAGCATCATCAGGCGGCAGTCAGAGTTGTAGAGAAATCCTCCTGTTTCTGTCTTAAATAGAGGGATAAATGGGATGTCGTCACTTGTGCACCAATCACAACATGTGTGTGTGCATGCTAAAACACAGCAAGTTGGCAGAGTAGAGGGCACAGGTGGTGCATCAGCCAGTCATCTCAGTTAGTCGACCCACAGCACTTGGGTTTGTCCCATGACCTGTCAGCGGGCGTTCGACACTTCGTGGCATTAACGTGCACCTAGCGTGGCACAAGCACCATTGTGATGTCACCGTCACTTAGTGGCGAATAGTGGTTGTTGCTACATGTAGCAGTTAGCGCACTGTGCTACGAACTGAGCGACCCAAGTTCGATTCCTGCTGTAAGCAAACATCGATGACGAAGATCTGAACCACACCAGGGTCTCCCCTAGGTCGACTCGGCCTCAAATGCGTACCTGATGTTGTGTGTAAAACATCGCCCACGAAGGAGACAAAGGCGACCAGGTGTGGTGCTGGCCACCCACCCCCTTCGTGTGCTATGCCAGCCTTCATAGGTGTTGGCTAACAGTACTACTCCAACAGTCTGTTAAGGTTATAACGGAGGATCTTTGTGTGTGTGCGCGTGTTGTGTGTAGGCTGGAGAGACGTTTTACACATCCGGCTGCAACAAGAACTGCACGTGCATGAAAGCAAACTTGGTGCAGTGCATGGACACGAGCTGCGGCGCCAATGAACTCTGCACCGTTGGCGATTTTACCATCGGCTGCTTTGCCGGTGAGCATCACGAATCTACGGTTTGCCTTGGAATAGGAAGCACTGGCGGCGTTCGTTCCGCAGCCGGCCGCATACGTGGGCACGGGGGTGAACACGAGCCCCACCACGCCGCGTCGACACTGTGCCACCCGTCATTGCAACATCCAGTGACTGAGCAAAGGTGCCAGCGGCGGTCACGTCGATAACGGCGCTCCTCCGGTGGGGTGGGGAGGTTTTAAAGTTCCACAGCTTTGCGAAAAGAGGTTGTTGTTGATGTCCGACGATGGTTTCCTTGCAGATGATCCGTGCGCTCACGTAACCTGTGAGAATGGAGGCGCCTGCTCATCGTTGAGTGGACAGCAGGTCACGTGCCAGTGTCCCCCCCCCATTCACAGGCGACCGTTGCGAGAGCACAATGAGCCCAGCGAGCACAGCGAGCCCAGGTATGGTTTGCCAAAACAAGCAGGGTAAGGGGAGGGGGAGGTGGGTGGGGGGGTGATGTAATTAAACAAGAGCTGTGGAACGGCCCTCGTAGGCCACAGGGGTTCACAGGTCAGACGCTCGTGAAACACTTACGTCTATAACCGGTGCCAGAATTTGCTTGTGTTGAACCAATGCCACCGATATTATGCACCCAGAGAAGGCCCTCGCGTGGCTAATGAGATGCATCAAAAACACGTGTTTTGTACGTGGAGGCACTGATGTGTGATGGGAGGCGTGTCACCCGTCTGCATATTTACTTTGCGATTTATTTTTCTCCGCAACGATGGGCTGGGTAGGGTTTTAGGGTTTACGCGTGCTTCAAAAAATCCCCACGCGTTGAGGCCGTGTATCTGGTGTGTGCGCGTCTCTGCCGACCAGGTGATCTGTGTGCTGCTTGGAACCCATGCTTGAACGGAGGAAGCTGCACAGAAGTAGGTGGACAAATTCACTGTCGCTGCCCCGACTCCTACACTGGAGACCGATGTGAAACCAAAGGTAAGGCCACAAAACAACCACCTTGATTTTAACTTGGCACTCATCAGAATCTGAAATATTTGTTCATCCTGGAGGAATCCGATGAGCAATACAGCTCTTTTTTCACAGATGTCCAGTAGGGGCGGGTAAGAAAGTTACAACAACAAACATCACAAAACACGATAGGAGTGCAAAGTATAGGAAATGTAAGCAAATAATAATTTTAAAAAACTTGTATTTTACCAGGTAAAACCCGCTGAGCTAGTAGCTTATTTTTCAGAAATGACCTGGCCACAAGATAGTTCAACGAAGTGGCTTATCACGTGGACAGCACCAATATTATCTCGCCTGTACAATTGTGCGTGTGTGTCATTATTAATTCATAATTGATTATATTCGTGGTGGATGACGATTCTATTCGAGCACAGGGCAAAAAGTTCAGGAGTTGAATGCCAACGTTCGCCATGACGAGATTTCTTAGAGAGAGAGTTCGTGAAATTGTACTGTTCCTCCTCCTACGTTGAAGAAGTGCAGACCAAAGTGGTCCATAATACAGGTTTTTTTTGTTAGATCGCGTAAATATATAAATGTGGTGTTAAACACGCCACCACCCGACACAGCCAATTAGGAAGGTTTATCACATTAACAGAACATGTCAATTCGTCACTCGTACAGCACTAACCGGTGTGTTAGTTTTGTTTGCATGGCCACAATCGCACAACTGTGACTTGTCTTCATTGTATCTTTCGAGGTCTCTATTGATCTATATGGGTCTCTGTCTCAATACGTCTCTATATATCTTCATGCGTTTACTACGTGGTCCATAGTTTGGGTTGTATGGCCACAACCGCATTACCGTGGATTTAATTTGCAATTCACGAAGGAGATATGCGCATCGACCTGTTCATGTTCTGATGCGGTTGATGGTTCCACCGGTGTCTTCGAGCAGGAGGAGGCATGTCAAAGTCAGGAGATTGCGATGTATGGGTCTCCACTGAGGTGATGATACGTTGTTTACTGATCATTTGTGAAGTGCCCATGTTAATCTGTAAATCAAGACGACACACAAAGACAAATATCCCCTGTATAGCTGAAGCAAACTGTTAGGGCAAATGCTGTTAGCGAGGAGCACTTATGAAGGTCAGCATGGCACACGAGGGGGTGGGTGGCCAGCACCACGCCCGGCTGCCTTTGTCTCCCCAGTGCCGATGTCTAGACATCGCACCAGGCACTTAGTTGAGGCTGAGTCGACCTCAGGGAGGCCCAGAACCAATTCAGCTAATCGTCGCCGGTGTTGGCCATCAAAGGAAATCAAACTCGGGCCACCAGGTTCATAGCGCAGCGCAATAACCAATGCCCTAGCGCTCCCCATTTGTTTGACAAACACTTTTTTAATGTTTTTAGATGTGACGGTGACGATCATCATCGCGGTGGTGTGCAGCGTGGGTGGAGTCCTGATCGTCGTTGTCGTCACCGTCGTTTTGGTCAAGTACTTCCGAAACAGGCAAGCGCCACACAGCCACACACACCAGTGTCTCCCTCCACACCCACTCCACACAGCCACACACACCAGTGCCTCCCTCACCCCACACAGCCACACACACCAGTGCCTCCCTCCACACCCACTCCACACAGCCACACACCCCAGTGCCTCCCTCCCCCTCGCCCCACACAGCCACACACACCAGTGCCTCCCTCCACACCCACTCCACACAGCCACACACACCAGTGCCTCCCTCACCCCACACAGCCACACACACCAGTGCCTCCCTCCACACCCACTCCACACAGCCACACACACCAGTGTCTCCCTCCCCCTCACCCCACACAGCCACACACACCAGTGTCTCCCTCCCTCTCACCCCACACAGCCACACACACCAGTGCCTCCCTCCACACCCACCCCACACAGCCACACACACCAGTGTCTCCCTCCCCCTCACCCCACACAGCCACACACACCAGTGTCTCCCTCCCCCTCACCCCACACAGCCACACACACCAGTGCCTCCCTCCCCTTCACCCCACACAGCCACACACACCAGTGCCTCCCTCCCCCACACAGCCACACACACCAGTGCCTCCCTCACCCCACACAGCCACACACACCAGTGCCTCCCTCCCCCACACAGCCACACACACCAGTGCCTCCCTCCCCCTCACCCCACACAGCCACACGCACCAGTGCCTCCCTCCACACCCACCCCACACAGCCACACACACCAGTGTCTCCCTCCCCCTCACCCCACACAGCCACACACACCAGTGCCTCCCTCCACACCCACTCCACACAGCCACACACACCAGTGCCTCCCTCCACACCCACTCCACACAGCCACACACACCAGTGCCTCCCTGCACACCCACTCCACACAGCCACACACACCAGTGTCTCCCTCCCCCTCACCCCACACAGCCACACACACCAGTGCCTCCCTCCACATCCACCCCACACAGCCACACACACCAGTGCCTCCCTTCACACCCACTCCACACAGCCACACGCACCAGTGCCTCCCTCCACACCCACTCCACACAGCCACACACACCAGTGCCTCCCTCACCCCACACAGCCACACACACCAGTGCCTCCCTCCACACCCACTCCACACAGCCACACACACCAGTGTCTCCCTCCCCCTCACCCCACACAGCCACACACACCAGTGCCTCCCTCCACACCCACTCCACACAGCCACACACACCAGTGTCTCCCTCCCCCTCACCCCACACAGCCACACACACCAGTGTCTCCCTCCCTCTCACCCCACACAGCCACACACACCAGTGCCTCCCTCCACACCCACCCCACACAGCCACACACACCAGTGTCTCCCTCCCCCTCACCCCACACAGCCACACACACCAGTGCCTCCCTCCCCCTCACCCCACACAGCCACACACACCAGTGCCTCCCTCCCCCACACAGCCACACACACCAGTGCCTCCCTCACCCCACACAGCCACACACACCAGTGCCTCCCTCCCCCACACAGCCACACACACCAGTGCCTCCCTCCCCCTCACCCCACACAGCCACACGCACCAGTGCCTCCCTCCACACCCACCCCACACAGCCACACACACCAGTGCCTCCCTCCACACCCACTCCACACAGCCACACACACCAGTGCCTCCCTCCACACCCACTCCACACAGCCACACACACCAGTGCCTCCCTGCACACCCACTCCACACAGCCACACACACCAGTGTCTCCCTCCCCCTCACCCCACACAGCCACACACACCAGTGCCTCCCTCCACACCCACCCCACACAGCCACACACACCAGTGCCTCCCTGCACACCCACTCCACACAGCCACACGCACCAGTGCCTCCCTCCACACCCACTCCACACAGCCACACACACCAGTGCCTCCCTCCCCCTCCCCCCACACAGCCACACACACCAGTGCCTCCCTCCACACCCTCTCCACACAGCCACACGCACCCGTGTCTCCCTCCCCCTCCCCCCACACAGCCACACACACCCGTGCTTCCCTCCACACCCACTCCACACAGCCACACGCACCAGTGCCTCCCTCCACACCCACTCCACACAGCCACACACACCAGTGCCTCCCTCCACACCCACTCCACACAGCCACACGCACCAGTGTCTCCCTCCCCCTCACCCCACACAGCCACACACACCAGTGTCTCCCTCCCCCTCACCCCACACAGCCACACACACCAGTGCCTCCCTCCACACCCACTCCACACAGCCACACACACCAGTGTCTCCCTCCCCCTCACCCCACACAGCCACACACACCAGTGTCTCCCTCCCTCTCACCCCACACAGCCACACACACCAGTGCCTCCCTCCACACCCACCCCACACAGCCACACACACCAGTGTCTCCCTCCCCCTCACCCCACACAGCCACACACACCAGTGTCTCCCTCCCCCTCACCCCACACAGCCACACACACCAGTGCCTCCCTCCCCCTCACCCCACACAGCCACACATACCAGTGCCTCCCTCCCCCACACAGCCACACACACCAGTGCCTCCCTCACCCCACACAGCCACACACACCAGTGCCTCCCTCCCCCACACAGCCACACACACCAGTGCCTCCCTCCCCCTCACCCCACACAGCCACACGCACCAGTGCCTCCCTCCACACCCACCCCACACAGCCACACACACCAGTGTCTCCCTCCCCCTCACCCCACACAGCCACACACACCAGTGCCTCCCTCCACACCCACTCCACACAGCCACACACACCAGTGCCTCCCTCCACACCCACTCCACACAGCCACACACACCAGTGCCTCCCTGCACACCCACTCCACACAGCCACACACACCAGTGTCTCCCTCCCCCTCACCCCACACAGCCACACACACCAGTGCCTCCCTCCACACCCACCCCACACAGCCACACACACCAGTGCCTCCCTCCACACCCACTCCACACAGCCACACGCACCAGTGCCTCCCTCCACACCCACTCCACACAGCCACACACACCAGTGCCTCCCTCACCCCACACAGCCACACACACCAGTGCCTCCCTCCACACCCACTCCACACAGCCACACACACCAGTGTCTCCCTCCCCCTGACCCCACACAGCCACACACACTAGTGCCTCCCTCCACACCCACTCCACACAGCCACACACACCAGTGTCTCCCTCCCCCTCACCCCACACAGCCACACACACCAGTGTCTCCCTCCCTCTCACCCCACACAGCCACACACACCAGTGCCTCCCTCCACACCCACCCCACACAGCCACACACACCAGTGTCTCCCTCCCCCTCACCCCACACAGCCACACACACCAGTGTCTCCCTCCCCCTCACCCCACACAGCCACACACACCAGTGCCTCCCTCCCCCTCACCCCACACAGCCACACATACCAGTGCCTCCCTCCCCCACACAGCCACACACACCAGTGCCTCCCTCACCCTACACAGCCACACACACCAGTGCCTCCCTCCCCCACACAGCCACACACACCAGTGCCTCCCTCCACACCCACTCCACACAGCCACACGCACCAGTGTCTCCCTCCCCCTCACCCCACACAGCCACACACACCAGTGCCTCCCTCCACACCCACTCCACACAGCCACACACACCAGTGCCTCCCTCACCCCACACAGCCACACACACCAGTGCCTCCCTCCACACCCACTCCACACAGCCACACACACCAGTGTCTCCCTCCCCCTCACCCCACACAGCCACACACACCAGTGTCTCCCTCCCTCTCACCCCACACAGCCACACACACCAGTGCCTCCCTCCACACCCACCCCACACAGCCACACACACCAGTGTCTCCCTCCCCCTCACCCCACACAGCCACACACACCAGTGTCTCCCTCCCCCTCACCCCACACAGCCACACACACCAGTGCCTCCCTCCCCCTCACCCCACACAGCCACACACACCAGTGCCTCCCTCCCCCACACAGCCACACACACCAGTGCCTCCCTCACCCCACACAGCCACACACACCAGTGCCTCCCTCCCCCACACAGCCACACACACCAGTGCCTCCCTCCCCCTCAACCCACACAGCCACACGCACCAGTGCCTCCCTCCACACCCACCCCACACAGCCACACACACCAGTGTCTCCCTCCCCCTCACCCCACACAGCCACACACACCAGTGCCTCCCTCCACACCCACTCCACACAGCCACACACACCAGTGCCTCCCTCCACACCCACTCCACACAGCCACACACACCAGTGCCTCCCTGCACACCCACTCCACACAGCCACACACACCAGTGTCTCCCCCCCCCTCACCCCACACAGCCACACACACCAGTGCCTCCCTCCACACCCACCCCACACAGCCACACACACCAGTGCCTCCCTCCACACCCACTCCACACAGCCACACGCACCAGTGCCTCCCTCCACACCCACTCCACACAGCCACACACACCAGTGCCTCCCTCACCCCACACAGCCACACACACCAGTGCCTCCCTCCACACCCACTCCACACAGCCACACACACCAGTGTCTCCCTCACCCCACACAGCCACACACACCAGTGCCTCCCTCCACACCCACTCCACACAGCCACACACACCAGTGTCTCCCTCCCCCTCACCCCACACAGCCACACACACCAGTGTCTCCCTCCCTCTCACCCCACACAGCCACACACACCAGTGCCTCCCTCCACACCCACCCCACACAGCCACACACACCAGTGTCTCCCTCCCCCTCACCCCACACAGCCACACACACCAGTGTCTCCCTCCCCCTCACCCCACACAGCCACACACACCAGTGCCTCCCTCCCCCTCACCCCACACAGCCACACACACCAGTGCCTCCCTCCCCCACACAGCCACACACACCAGTGCCTCCCTCACCCCACACAGCCACACACACCAGTGCCTCCCTCCCCCACACAGCCACACACACCAGTGCCTCCCTCCCCCTCACCCCACACAGCCACACGCACCAGTGCCTCCCTCCACACCCACTCCACACAGCCACACACACCAGTGCCTCCCTCACCCCACACAGCCACACACACCAGTGCCTCCCTCCACACCCACTCCACACAGCAACACACCAGTGTCTCCCTCCCCCTCACCCCACACAGCCACACACACCAGTGTCTCCCTCCCCCTCACCCCACACAGCCACACATACCAGTGCCTCCCTCCCCCACACAGCCACACACACCAGTGCCTCCCTCACCCCACACAGCCACACACACCAGTGCCTCCCTCCCCCACACAGCCACACACACCAGTGCCTCCCTCCCCCTCACCCCACACAGCCACACGCACCAGTGCCTCCCTCCACACCCACCCCACACAGCCACACACACCAGTGTCTCCCTCCCCCTCACCCCACACAGCCACACACACCAGTGCCTCCCTCCACACCCACTCCACACAGCCACACACACCAGTGCCTCCCTCCACACCCACTCCACACAGCCACACACACCAGTGCCTCCCTGCACACCCACTCCACACAGCCACACACACCAGTGCCTCCCTCCCCCTCACCCCACACAGCCACACACACCAGTGCCTCCCTCCACACCCACCCCACACAGCCACACACACCAGTGCCTCCCTCCACACCCACTCCACACAGCCACACGCACCAGTGCCTCCCTCCACACCCACTCCACACAGCCACACACACCAGTACCTCCCTCACCCCACACAGCCACACACACCAGTGCCTCCCTCCACACCCACTCCACACAGCCACACACACCAGTGTCTCCCTCCCCCTCACCCCACACAGCCACACACACCAGTGCCTCCCTCCCCACCCACTCCACACAGCCACACACACCAGTGTCTCCCTCCCCCTCACCCCACACAGCCACACACACCAGTGTCTCCCTCCCTCTCACCCCACACAGCCACACACACCAGTGCCTCCCTCCACACCCACCCCACACAGCCACACACACCAGTGTCTCCCTCACCCCACACAGCCACACACACCAGTGTCTCCCTCCCCCTCACCCCACACAGCCACACACACCAGTGCCTCCCTCCCCCTCACCCCACACAGCCACACATACCAGTGCCTCCCTCCCCCACACAGCCACACACACCAGTGCCTCCCTCACCCCACACAGCCACACACACCAGTGCCTCCCTCCCCCACACAGCCACACACACCAGTGCCTCCCTCCCCCTCACCCCACACAGCCACACGCACCAGTGCCTCCCTCCACACCCACCCCACACAGCCACACACACCAGTGCCTCCCTCCACACCCACTCCACACAGCCACACACACCAGTGCCTCCCTCCACACCCACTCCACACAGCCACACACACCAGTGCCTCCCTGCACACCCACTCCACACAGCCACACACACCAGTGTCTCCCTCCCCCTCACCCCACACAGCCACACACACCAGTGCCTCCCTCCACACCCACCCCACACAGCCACACACACCAGTGCCTCCCTCCACACCCACTCCACACAACCACACGCACCAGTGCCTCCCTCCACACCCACTCCACACAGCCACACACACCAGTGCCTCCCTCCCCCTCACTCCACACAGCCACACACACCAGTGCCTCCCTCCACACCCACTCCACACAGCCACACGCACCAGTGTCTCCCTCCCCCTCACCCCACACAGCCACACACACCAGTGCCTCCCTCCACACCCACTCCACACAGCCACACGCACCAGTGCCTCCCTCCACACCCACTCCACACAGCCACACACACCAGTGCCTCCCTCCACACCCACTCCACACAGCCACACGCACCAGTGTCTCCCTCCCCCTCACCCCACACAGCCACACACACCAGTGCCTCCCTCCACACCCACCCCACACAGCCACACACACCAGTGTCTCCCTCCCCCTCACCCCACACAGCCACACACACCAGTGCCTCCCTCCACACCCACTCCACACAGCCACACGCACCAGTGCCTCCCTGCTCCTGGACACGCCAGTGTCACAGGCAGCATTGCCGATGGACTATCATAAGGTGGCCGGGTTCCTCGCAGGTCAGGGGGCGGAGCTGACCACCGCTGAGATCCTTGGTTGCAATCCAGAGAGCTGCCTTCGATTTAACCAGGTTCTGAAATGCAGTGGATTCAGAATCAGAATCTTGATTTATTCTGCAGGAGTGATCTAATGAGCTTTAAATCCCTTTTTCACGGATGTGCAGTAGGGGCAGGTCAGAATGATACGGATTTATGGACTCAGCCCAGTTACCGATTGACTGCACGAGAAAATTATATTAAATTTGGTTTGATAGACCAACTTAATTTGGCTCAATTTCAATTTCGAGAATAAAAAAATAATAATATATACATAAAAATGATCAAATGGTTTTGAATGTCATGCATAACTGTCTGTAAGAGGGCAGGTGGGAAAGTGCTGCCTCGTGCTTTGTGAACCAAAGGGCACGAGATCTCAGAAGTAGAAGCAGATAATCATCTGATAATTATCTGCTTCTGTCCCTTCCCGATTAAGTGAATTGTCACTCCCAGTGGCCACGGGGATGTCGCAAGCCAATGCATCACGTTCACGAATGCATCATTCCAGCCCGAGTCTTTTTTGCGCTTCCTTAACAGGAACAATCTCCTGCAGTCATATTTACACATACGTCCAATTAGTCATAATCAAGATTTTTTGGGTTAGATCGGATTATTTATAAATGTGTCGCAACCCTCCACCACCCAACACGGCCAATCAGTAAAAAATGTGTCACATTGAAAAAAGACAAATAGTTCACTACTTTAGCCCACCGGTGTGTTGAAGAGTGGATCCATAACATTTACAATTTGAGTACGACGTTTCGCTGGAAATTCCATCCAGCATCTTCAAGCGATTTGCCAGAATAGTGAAGCCATCCACTATTCTTAAATAGTGCAAGATGACGTCATCATTGTTGAACCCCATCAGGATTCAAGATCAGAGGTGGGGTGTGGGGGTGTATACAATTATGTAATAGATCACTACTTAGCCCCTTAGCATGTGACTCACCTGTAATGAATTGCAGTACATGTTGTGTATTACTACTATAAGCCAAGAATGTGTGTGTCCCGCGCGTGACGTCACTCCACATGAAGCCCACTCCCCTGTATTGACGTCACTCCACATGAGCCCCCCCCTCCCGCGTGATGTCACTCCACAACGAGGCCCCCCCCCCCATCATTAATATTCATGAGTGGGTGGATTTTTAAACTAACGCAGAGGAAGGTCGAGCTAATTAAATCATTTATTATGCAAAATCGCTTCAAATAAGACGTTTCTTTACAGAAAGTGACGGTCAAAAATAAATATACGCAGCACAGCGCTACATCCGTACGTGATGTCACTACAAAAGAGCCCCCCTCCCCCCCCCGTCATTAATAATCATGAGCGGGTGGATTTTTACACTCCCGCAGAAGAAGGTCGAAAGGAAATAAATATTTTTACGCAAATTCGTTAAAAAATGTACGTTTCTTTATTGAAAAGATTATTGAAATTACTGCTAGAATAATCCAATAATGTGTGTCCCGTACGTGATGTCACTCCACATGCCCCACCCCCTCGCTCTCCTGCCGCCGATCCCTCTGTAAATTGCATCCCCACCGCTCGCTCGTCATGGCAGCCCCTCCCCTCTTCTGTTTGCTCGCCTTACATTTACTTACAAATTCCATCCCTGGCCCCGCCCACTACCCTTGGGTGTACCCACCACAAACGTATATCACTTATTGTGGCAGTAGCTCTCTCGCTACATTTCCTCTTGCCTCAGCAGTCCGCCTGCTGTATTGTTTAATCTGAGGACGATGGCTTGTGTTGCTATCGAAACGTCGTGATCGAGTATTTTTCTACCTACGTGACTTTACTAAAAGAGCCAAAGAGTATGGATTCCTGCAGTCACGAAAGCTTCAAATCAAGATGAATAATACTGGTCACGAAAAACTACGTGTTAAACTGACGTCCAATTAGTACGGTTGGCTACATACGGTGCGAACGAAGTTCGTGTTAAACAAACCCATGGGCTCCACGATTCTATGGGTTGCCGCTCAATGCAATACGCAGCTCGTACCGCATGAGAGTTGCATCCCAGCACGCATGTTCACTATTAACATCCACCTGGTGGTCTCGCGTAAAGTGTCAGTGAAAGGTGGGAGAAGCGACGGGGCTCACTACATCGCTGCACATATGTGTGTACGTTGAACTTAATTTGTACGTCATCAGAGGTTGTGGCGGGAAGGACACCAAACTAAAGCACAAAAAGCTTTTCTAAAGAAATGAGTTTGTCAATCTACATCATTTAAAAGTGCACAGCTCCAGTGGCTTCCTAATATCGGAAGAGCGTCATTCCAGACGGCCGCAGAAGCGCACCTGAAAGCGCCACGCGATGCGGTGACCATCTGTGCAGGAGTTGGGCGCGATCTTAATCTGAGCCGTGCTCTTCCGTGCGCAGGTCAAAGTCCCAGCTATTGCAGGAGGAGGGCGACGACCAAGACGACGTCATCACGGTCGCCAGCGGCTCATCGACGCCGCGCTTCAATTATGACAATTCTGAATTCAACGTCGAGTTCACGAGCAGCGATCCCTGGAATGCGCGCTTGAACGACTGAAGATGTTCGCGTCGTTTACGACCGTGGGAAAAAAACCCGCATTGGCGAGTGTCGTTGCAGCTGCAAATCACAGCAACAAGCAAACAAACAAAAAACGCATCGGTTCGTTGAGATAGAGGTGTCCAGGGGAAGTCGTGGCTGTGACTCCCTCTCTAAGGCCGTGAACCCCAAATGTCTTGAAAACCCGGTTAAACTAAAATGTCTTACAGACTCAGTTAACCCCAAATGTCTTACAGACCCCGTTCACCCCAAATGTCTTACAGACCCCGTTTACCGCAAGTGTCTTCGCCGTGCAGTCTGAGGGTCCTTACGTCACCTTGGTGAGGCCGCTTGAGAAACTCTTGATGCTCGTGGCCCAATTAGGCACACGTTGGCGTCAAAGTTATTTACCAGGTCTCTCGGCTGCCGGACGGTGCACACTTGACCTCCAAGGTCCGCCCTCACAGTATCCCACCATCTGACTTCTGGGTGTCACTCTTATGTGCTTCTCACTAACCTGTTTTTCCCATATCATACAAAGACAATGATTCCCCCGTATAGCCTGAACAGACTGATGGGGCAAGTGCTGCTAGCGAGCACCTAATGAAGGCCGGCACGGCACACAAGTGGGTGGGTGGCCAACACCACGCCCGGCCGCCTTTGTCTCCCTTGTGGCGATGTTTACACATTACACCTGGTACTCATTTGAGGCCGAGTTGACCTAGGGGAGGCCCAGGTCCAGTTCAGATAATCCTCAATAGCGTTGGCCGTGAGCGAGAATCGAACTCGAGTCACCTGGTTTGTAGCGCAGCGCGCTAACCGCTACACCACCGCTCCCCACCTCTCATCCTACAACACACGCAAGCACGGCCATCCCACTTGTCGCAACCTAAATGCCGCATGGGAACGTAGGGGGGCGGGGTGGCTGCCCATTCCTGCCCACCCACGACATTTGTACAAGCCAAATGCAGTGCGCCCTCGGCATCCTCTATGGACACCCCAGGCTTTTCAACACGTGTCCTGGGCCCGGAGGGCATCGTGCCTGCACATCAAAGTTGCACTCCATCTCATGGCCCCCTTTCTCCCAGCCGCCTTCGTGATGCAAATCGTTACAATTCGAAGCGAGAAGGTGCTCAAAATTATCCACGCTGCCCCTGACCCGGTGGTGAAATATCCATATTTCTGTGGGAGGTGATGAAAGTCCATCCATGGCAACAACCAACGTTGACTTCCACACAAAGTAGCACTTATTTTATCGACCCTCTAAAATGATGAAGGAGCTCACATTTACCCCCGCTCAGGAGTTCAACTCGCACTTTTCTAGATACGAGCCACGTATTCCGAAGTAGCACTGCGATAACCCCTACGGTCCAAGCTCACAAATCCGTCACTGCTGCATCCAGTATCACCATGTCCTTCTGATGACCGAGATGAAGGTGCAAAAAGCTGTCCCCAACTACCTGCAACCGCCATCACCTGTTGGTGCAGACCTCACCTGTGCGCCTAAGTGCTGAACAGTGCAAACCGCCCAGCACTTCCTAGTCGGCCTTGCCCTGACTCTTGGGTGCAATTCACCATTTGTTTTGTTTTGAATACAAGTTAAATACAAACAATAAAGCAAAACGTGGCTGATGTATTTTCAAGAAGTGTGTTTACATTTGGGCAAAAGTTAATTAAGGAATGGGTGTTATTATTGGTGTCTGGGTTTTTAAACATCTCTACGCATGGTTGGTTGTTATCGAATGCATTGAATAAAGTTGGTGAATTCGGCTCTGCCGAATACCGGCCGTCACCTCAAACCTGAATTTCACGTCCTTTCATGTAGTCGGCAACTACAAACTGAAGTATTACATGCTTCAAAACACGGTGTTGCACCTTTTCTGGTAGCTAATTAGTAATAATAATGTCAATGTATAAAGCGCCCTTAAACAATTGTTCTCTAGAGTGCTGTGCATGAAAAGTCGGAAAATAGTTTAACATCAACCAAGAAAAGTCAGAAGTTTTGACAATAACCCGAGAGAAAGCAATTTTAAAAAGATGTGTTTAGTTGAGATTTGAAGATTTGTAAAGTTTCTCAGAAGCCTGACCTCGAAGGGGCAACGAGTTCCAGAGTTCAGGAGCCGCAATTGCAAAGTCGCCGCCATCACCCCAAGTGTGAAGCCTCGAGCGTGGTGACAGTGAGCAATGCACAATCTGACGATCTTAATGATTTACACCATTGGAACCTCATTTGCCAGTAGCAAAATATGATAATTGTTTTTTTACCCTTTTATCTGGCAACAAAACTGACATTTTTTTTTACAAGGAGTCATGTTTGCATTGACCAAAATACCTGCAGTCGGAATGCATTGTGGTCAATGCAAACATGACTCCTTGTAAAAAAAGGTTTCAGTTTTGTTGCCAGATAAAAGGGTAAAAAATCTAGTATCATATTTTGCACTGGCAAA